GTGAGGGTCTAACAGGGAATGGATTTTTCGCTTTGGGAATTTAATGAAGGCGCAGAATTCTCTTTCTCTGTCTTTCTTGGCCATTCTCTCTCTCTCTCTCTCTCTCGCTCTCTCTCTCTCTCTCTCTCTCTCTCTCTCTCTCTCTCTCTCTCTCTCTCTCTCTCTCTCTGTGTGTGTGTGTGTGTGTGTGTGTGTGTGTGTGTGTCTGTCTGTCATGAATGCATCTTATTAAAACGAAAATTGAGTTAAAAGTTTTAAGTGATACCTATATGTCCATGTACTCTGAGGACGGAAAAGTACGCCCATGACTATAAACAGAAGATAAATATTTATAAATCAACAACATTCTGCTTACATAGACGACAGCCCACCTCACATTCGCGCCCATCTCCCTACGCAGGTGAGAAATAGCACCTGGTCATAAATCAGTAATGAAGCTATAGAGCCACGGTGTCAGACATAACTTTGTCCCGCACACACTGGAGGCATTCAGGTGATCGCTTCACGGTGGATCGTTATTCTGATTCTTATGTATTCTTCCCTCTTCTTTTTCGTTGCTGGTATTGTTTTCAATATAGTTTCTTAATGTTCTTCTTTTTTGGCAATATTCTGCATTTTCTTTTCTTTTTTAGCTTTTGGCAATTTTTCAATGAATATTTTTTTCTTCCTCATATGTCATTTACTTCTTTCTTCGCCTTCCCTCTGCACCTCCCCCCCCCCCCTTTTGTAGCTACTCCTCTTCCTCCCCATCTTCGCCTTTCGTATATTCTATCTCTATTCATATTCATATTTTCTTCCTCCTCCTCCTTCCACCATTCCTTTTCTATCTCCTCATCCTATTCTTCCTCGTGTTCATCTGTCCATTCTATTCCTCCTCCTCTTTCTCTTCCTCCTAACGTCCTCTTCTTTCTCCTCCTCGCTCTCCTCCTCCTGTTCTTCATTTCCTTCTTCCCTCTCCCCCAGCACACTCCTAACCTCCTCCTGCTCCTTCTACTTCTTCTTCTTCTTCTTCTTCTTCTTCTCCTCCTCCTCCTCTTCCTCCTCCTCCCCCTCCTCCTCCTCCTCCTCCTCCTCTTCCTCCTCCTCCTCCTCCTCCTGCTTCCTTACCTTTTGGCACTTTTTCAATAGAGAGACATGACTTCGTTGGTCACTTGGCAGGTTTCCACTCAGGTGAAAAGCTCAGCAAGTCTCCGGAGATCAATAGCTCTTTTCCCGAATTCTTTGAAGATGTAAATGCGGGCGTTTGTCAAGTCCGAAAGAGGTGTTCTGTTCAAGGGACCGTGGCTAGTGAGTGACAAGGGTGTCCGGCTTGCAAAACCCTCTGTTTATGTCTCTTATCGGAATGAGCTCCTTGACGCCAGGGAGATAGAGATAAGATAAGCCATCGTGTTGAAATGTAGGAGACGATTTTGATTTTTGATTTGCTTAATCCTCCGTTATTTTGAGCTTATATTTTATATTTTCGTTACGGTATATATAAGGAAATACTATATGCTAAGTACGGTGCTTCTTTATAAAGAGCGATCATCGGTTTATTTTCCTCCTGCAATCAAATAAATTTTCATGGTGTAATTATATGGGATATAAACCAGTGACATTCGTACTTCCATATGACAATGTTCGTTAAATGCGGTATGCAAACACCGTATATCTTAATACTAGTGGTGGTGATGTGTCTGTGTGTGTGTGTGTGTGTGTGTGGGTGTGGGTGTGGGTGTGATATCAGTAATAACGATAATACAATCATTATCATCATCATTATTATTATCATAACTATCATTATTATTACTATTATTAGCATTATTATTTTTCTATTATTAATATCATCACTATTATCATTATCATTATTATTATTACCATCATTATAATTATTATTATTATTATTATTATCATTATTATTATCATCATTATCATTATCATTATTATTATTATTTTACTATTATTATTACCATTATCATTATCATTAACATTGTTATTTTATTAATACAGTTATTATTATTATTGTTATTATTATTATTATTGTATGTATTGTTGTTGTTGCTATTGTTGTTATTGTTATAGCATTATTATTATTATTATTATTATTATTATTACTATCGTTGTTATTATTATCATCATCATCATTATTGTTATTATTATTATTATTATTATTATTATTGTTGTTGTTGTTGTTATTATTATTATTATTATTATTATCATCATCATCATTATTATTCTTGTCATTATTACTATTACTATTGCCATTATTATTTTTGTTTTCATTATTATTATTATCAGTATCACTAGGATTAGTAGTATTAGTATTAGTATTTTTATATAATCTTTATTATTATTGTTATTTGTATTATTATTATTATTGTTATTCTCATTATTGTTATTATTATTACTATCATTATTATTACTGTTATCATTATTATTGTCATTATTATTATCATTATTATTATTATTACATTTATCATTATCATTATTATCATCATCATCTTCATTATCATCATTTTCATTATTTCATGATATGTAATCATATAACTTACATTATAATTGATCTTGTGAAGCATGGATAGCAGGGTAGATGGCAGCGCTGCGTCACTTTTGATGATCAATAATAAAATCTGACTTATTTTTTCATAGTAGTAGCAGTAGTGAACTATTATTGTTATTATCATCATTACCTTCATTATTATAATCATTATCATCATCGTTATTATTATCATAACCATCGCTCTTATTGATGTCGATGTTATTATTTCTGTTGTTGTTATAACCATCACTATTATCGTTATCAATAGCAGAGTTGTTCTTATTTTCATTATCATCATTATCGTTATTAATATTACTATTATTATCATTACTATTCTTACTATTCTATTCATATTATCATTACAATTAGTTTTGTTGTTATTTTCATTATTCTCATCCTTATTGACATCAGCTTCATTTTTGTTATCATTATTTTTAGCATTGTGATTATTATTGCTATCATTAATATTATTTTCATTATTATTATTATTGTGAAAATAATTTGAATGATAATAATGGCAATGATAATGGTGATTATAATAACGGTAATAGAACTAAGAATTATTTTCTTTTATTATTGTCATTATTACTTTTATTGTTATTATCATTACTATCGTTATCATTATAACTGTTGTTATTATTATCACTATTATTATAATAACAATGATAATGATAATAATAATGATTATTATTATTGTCGTTGTTGTTATTATTGTTGTTGTTATTATCATCATTATTATCATTATCATTATTATCATTATCATCATCATTATTGTTATTATTATTATCATTACTATCATCATTATCATTATAATTACTGTTATTATTATTATCATTATTATCAATATTATTATCATGATTATTATTATTATTATCATTATTATTATTATTATTACTGTTAACATTGTCATCTTTATTACTATTATTGTTTTAACTATTATCATCATTATTATGATTATCACTATCATTATCATTATTATTATTATTGTTGTTGTTGTTGTTGTTACTATTACTACTATCATTTTTATTATTATTGTTGTTGTTGTTGTTGTTGTTACTATTACCACTATCATTATTATTATTATTATCATTATTATTATCATTATTATTATCATTATTATTATTATTATTTCTATTATCATTTTCCTTATTATTATTGTTACTATTCTTTTTTATTACCATTATTGTTATTATCATTATCATAATATCATTACTATTATAACTAATATTATTTTTATCATTACTGTTATCATTATTATCACTATTATCATGATGATGATGATATTATTATCATCACCATCATCATCGTCATTTTTTAGTATCATTGTCATTATTATTATTATTATTATTACTATTATTATTAAAATAATAATAATTATTATTGTTATTATTACTATTATTATTAAAATAACAATAATCATTATTATCAATATTATTATTAGTAGTAGTAGTACTATCATTATTATTATCATTAGAATCATTATTGGAATTATTATTATTACTATTATCGTCCTCATTATCATCATTATTATCATTTATTATTATTATTATTATTATTATTATTGTGATTATTATTATTATTATTATCATTATCATTATTACCATTATTGTTCTCATCATATCATTTAAGTTATTATCATTATTATTATTATTATCATTATTATCATTATTATTATTATTATTAACTATCCTTATCATTATCCTCATTATTACTATTAGCATTATTACTATTATTACTATTACTGTTGTCATCACTGTTATTATCATAATCATTATCCTTATCATTTTCATTATCATTATTTTTTCACTGTCATTATTTGATTAATGTTATCATTATCATTGTCATTATTATCATTATGATAACAACAAATAAGTAATACTAATATTAATGATAGAAATAATGATAATAATGATAATAGTAGTAAGGATTATAACAGTAATGATGACAAGGATAACAGTGATAATAGAATATTGATAATGAAAAAGATAATTGTAATAAGAATAACAATAATAATAATGATAAGGATGATGATGATAATAGTGATAATCATAATAACTGTAACAAAAATAATAATAGAGAAAATTACGCTAAATACACCAACTACAGAAATGAATACCCCTATTCTCCCCTCTCCCCCTCCCTCCCTTCCCCCAGGTGGGCGTGTGCGGGCTGGTCGTCGCCTACAACATCGTGGGCGCCTTCGCTTTCCGTGCCATCGAGGGCGACCATGGCGACGGAACCCCCGAAGAACTAGCCAGGGACCTTCGGGAGACGCTGGTGGGGCGCCTGTGGAACGTCACCCTCAGGTTAAACGTGCTCGAGGAGGACCAGTGGAGGAAGGAGGTGGTAGGAGCGCTCGAGGAGTACCAGGGCAGTGTGGTACCTCTGGTGAAGACGAAAGGGTACCGGGGTGTTCATCCGACGGAGGCCTGGTCGTTCTCGGCGAGTTTGATGTACTCGCTCAGCGTCTACACGACTATAG